TAGTTTTGGTTAATTCCAAAAATTGGGGGAACTTCCTGTGGGGCCCAGCACTTGAGCTCTGTGGTTGTGCTAAATTGCCACTGATTCTCTGGGGAAGGCCTTTTGTGCAGATCAGATATTAATTGTCAGCCTTTTAATCTCTTCCAGGTCTTGTAAGGTCAGATACACCTGAACAGTGTGGAAATTCTAGCCCAGGACTAAGTTTTTCCAGCAAACTTCACACCCTGCAGTTCTATTGCCCTGACCAGTCTCTACTGAGTGGGCCTCTGCCCATCAAAAGGCAGAACAGCTGCCCACTCCACACACCAATGTTCTTGCAGCAGGCCAGGCTGACTTCCCACACTCCAAACACTTCCCATAGGTGGCCTGGCTAGGGTCCCTCATAATCACTTACCATCCTCTGAATGGTTCCTTTCTTCAGTCACCTGCGGCCCTCACTCCTATGTGAGTCCATGGGATGGGAACCCTTCAGTGGTTTTGCTGGCCTGGAGGCTGGTATGGTATGCTCTGGGCCCTCTTCTCCCCTGCACACTCCAGGCAACTTCACACAAAGGGCTCAGCTGAGGCTTTTGCTAGCTGCTGCTCCATGTGGTAAGCTTTTCATGCCTCTCACGGGGCTGTCCCTGAAGTGGCTGGGGCTTTAAACAGTCCGAGTGGTTTCTTCCTCTCACTGCAGCTTCTCCTACCTTCACAAATTCCACGGTCTCTCCTCCTCTTCTCCTGAGCTCCAGCAGTCCCAGGTTGGCAGTCTTTGCTTTTTAATAGCTGTAAATTGGTCGACTGTGGGGGAGAGTGATGCTGGGGACCATCTATTCCACCATCTTGATGACATCTCTCCAAGTTGTTGTTTTTTAATAGCATATTTCTGATTTTGGCTTTGTTGATATTTTCTCATTATTAAATTCAGGTTATGCATTCCTGTCCAGAATACTACATAGTGATATTATATCCTTCTCATAGGTTACATTAATTTTGATCATTCAGGCAAAGTACTGTCTGTTTCTCTATTATATAGTTACTATGTACTTCCTGGCAAATGGGGGGAGATACTTAAATGTGGCATATACTATAAAGCATATGTACTTCACAGGGCCTGGTTTTCCAAAGCCTTGCAATTTCAAATATTGACCTTGCAAGGACAGAAAATTTTCCTCAGGCTATAAGTCTCTGTTGCAAGATAAGAATTGTGGCACAGCAGGTTGCTGGCTCAGACAGACTAGTTACTGATTGTTATGTAAAGATACTGAGAAATTGCTATAAGAAGGAATGTTTGCTAAGATCAAGCTTGTGTTGATAAGATGACTTAATTGTCTACGGGAATGTCATCTAGCTTGTTTCACTGAGAGTTACTGGCCTATACTGTTAAACTATAACCCCACCTTTGTTCTCTTCCTGTAACTTCCTGGTCTGGAAAATAAATGCAGGAAGAGAACCCCAATTTGGCATTAATTTCCCAAGGAAGGGATCCCTCTAGCTTGAGGGTTCCAGTAGGAGATTAACCACATCAGGGCCTCTCACTGCTCAGAAGAGATGGGCTTTAAGTAATCCTTTGCGTCTCTGTCACCCAGAGGACATGGGGTGACAAATCCGTGGGGGGCAAAGCAACACAAAGCAACACTTAAAGACCATGAAAATATCCTGCTCCTCATCAATTTCCTCCTCAATCCTGAATTATCACCCATTGGTCATTCTTGTCCAATGAATCTTTACGATTGCAAAATAATCCTCTAATTTTACTGCTCATTTCACATTTATTAACCAGCATCCAACTGTGAAAAAGTCCTCCCTTTTCTCTACCTATCAGCAGTATGGATTTATAACTTCCTTTTTTTTCAGTGGTTTAATACTGTCCTTATTTTGATGCTTAAATAGTCCCAGATTTGGCCAGTAGTAACCTCTTCAAGCTAGCCCCTGTGTTCATTCAACATGCCTGCATCATTTTTGAACACACCCTTGCTTTCTGGTAACATTAAGATATTCCAGACTAATATTACACCCTTTCTGCCCCAACCCTGGAGATATGCCATTCCTTCAAAGATCCCTGGTTCCTTTTAGTGGGGAACAAAAACAAGATATGAGTGCCAGGTATACTCATTACTATTAGGGTAAGTTCGAGTCTAGTCCTGTGCTGTCCAATTTGGTAACCATTATCAACATGTGGCTACTTAAATTAAAATTAGTAAAAAATAAATTAAAAATTCAATTCTTCAATTGCGTGAGCCACATTTCATGTGCTCACTGGCTACACGTGTCTAGTAACTACCATATTGGACAGCATAGATATACATAGAACATCTGAGTAATTACATCACTGTTCTAGACCCTTGCAGCAGGCAAATCTAGGAAACGCATGTGTGTACACACACATTTACCTGAGTTCCTATTCTCCACTGCCTTTTAAACATCTTCCTATGTTCCACACTACATTAATTCTTTAACACATTAAACAATTATTTACTGAGCACATACTATTAAACACGCACTGTTTAAAGCCCTGTACCACACACAATCATACCATAACAAAGGTACAGTCTCTGTCCTCTAAAAACTCACAATTTAAAGAGAAGTCAAAAAAATAAATGAATTATTATAGAATGGTATGATAAATTCCCACATGCTGAAATTAAAATATATTGCTATAACAATATATATCTTATATTGTGGGTGGTAAGAAAGGCTCCTGAAAGACATGATATTTAAATTAAGTTTAGAAAGGTGGGTAATTATTAGCCTAGGAATCTGGGGAATTAGTAGGGAATTAGAGGGTTGGCTGGTTAGTTCAGCTGGTTAGAGCACAGCCTTGTAACACCAAAGTCATGGGTCTGGATCCCCATAATGGCCAGCTGCCAAAAAAAAAAAAAAAATGTTTGAGGGTGGGTCATTTGCTATACTCCATCACTTTTCTTCATCTGTTCCAATTATTCACTTAAAATTATTTCTCTCCCCATACCCTTTCAAAACTTTGCTTATCTTTCAAAGCCCATCTTTTTGATGTATTTCTTAACTCTTCTAACCCTATAACCCCCCAAATATACTGTCTTTATTGATTTCAGGCACACAAAAGATTTAGTTTTTTTTTTTTTGTCTTTTTTGTGACCAGTAAGGGGATCGCAACCCTTGGCTTGGTGTCGCCAGCACCGCACCCAGCCAGTGAGCACACCGGCCAGTCCTATATAGTATCCGAACCCGCGGCGGGAGCGACGCTGCGCTCCCAGAGCCACACTCTCCTGAGTGTGCCACGGGGCCGGCCCAGTTTGTTTTTGTTATCAATGTAATGGTAAGAATATGGGCTTTGGAATCAGACTTACTGCTTACTAGCCATGTGACCTTGGGACCATTTACTTAATCTTGGGCAAGTTACTTAATCTCTCTAAACCTCAATTTCTACACCTGAAGATGGGATTAGTAATATCTCATAGTTAAATGTTTGATGATTAAATAAAATAATGTACTGAAAATGCTTAGCATAGTGACTAGAATATGGTAAACTACGAAGTCCACTAGTAATGATAACCTCACAACCTGTTTCTTCCTTTGCTGAAAATTTTAAAGTTGCTCACACCTTTCCAGGCCAATCTTTACATTATTAAGGCATACATTATATTATTTTAGTAACATCTAGCAAACCACCTAAATTATTCAAGCAGATTTCTTTAGTCAGAATACTATGGAATATTCATATGTAAAATATTTTAGACAGACAATTCTACTATTGACTATGAAATCACAAAATCATATTTCAAAATATTATTTATCTATTGCTTATAACAACTTTAAATAAACATTATTAAATAAAATATGATTTCATATATAAAATATTTAAATAAAAATCATTTTCTTAGTGGGTTGATTTAGATAAAACTTTTTAATTATGGAATAAAACAATTTTCCAAAGAATATTTTAAAGTTGAGGAATCATATTAATAATATCTGAACTATTAACTGGTAAAAATCAGTCTTTTAATAAAATCTAATTTGTCAGAATCTACATTCGTATTTATAATTGGATCCTGATAAAACAAAACTTAAAATTGGTTCCTAATGAAACAAAACATCTTGATTTTTATATAAATATATTTAAATAGTTAATGTAATAATAATCGGAAACAGTCAATATTAAATAATAGCATTAAGGAAAATTTCTTTCCTTTGATATATTATTAAGAAATCTAAAAGAATAGGGGAAAAAAGCATATCATACAGCAAGAACTAAAGATGACTTATTTTTGCCCTTTATCACAGTACGTTTGGAAGGGCACTGGAAGTATGTCCATCATTTTATTTACAAATGAAAAATATTTTCCAAAATGCATGCTTTTAATGAAGTGTATTTTATTTGTATGAAGTATAAGCATGAATATCTAAAATTGCATTGCTTATGTTCTAGAAGAAGGATTAACAAATACCAAACCTAAAAAGGAGAGCCATGTCACTTCCTCCAAAATAATTGACAACTGTAAAGATTTTCTTTACCTGAGCAAATATTCATAAAACAAACGTAGTATATTTGCTTTCTCCTTATTACTCTTATCAGTACATTCTAAAAATCACTTTGAGGGCTGGCCCGTGGCTCACTCGGGAGAGTGCGGTGCTGATAACACCAAGGCCCCAGGTTCAGATCCCATATAGGGATGGCCGGTTCGCTCACTGGCTGAGCGTGGTGCTGACAACACCAAGTCAAGGGTTAAGATCCCCTTACCGGTCATCTTTAAAAAAAAAAAAAAATCACCTTGACATTTAACTTTCCTTCAAATTAGTTTAAGCATAATAGTGGATTTAAAAAAACTGGGGATGTGACAAGTTTCAGACTATACTGCTATGTTTAAAAAATTACTAAATCCCTCTTATATATTGTCATCATCTGTTATATCATTTATAAATTATCTTTTTAAGTTTTCTACATATATTTATACTAAATAACTGTATGATCCACATCCTCTCGTATATGAAATACACTGATGGTGAAATCTTTGTTCGTGTTTTCCCAAAGGTAGCCTTACCTGAGGAGTCCAATAAAAAGTAGGGCTCAGTCTGTAGAGTTTTCGTTTGTGGAAACTCTGAAGTGGCCTTGTTCTGGCTGCCGTATTCATGACAGTCAAGGATGGAGATTTCAATCTCGTCCTGTCTTTTCTCCTTTTCTTATTGTGCTTCTGGTTAAGTAACCAACTACTGGAGGAAGAGAGCTCATCTAAATTCTCTGAAGCACTGAAATGCCATAAAGTAATTGGGGAGTGGAAGGGGAAATAAAACAAAACAAACAAACAAAAAAAGACAAAGAAAACTAAATGTAAATTGCCTTGGTCTATTATGACAGAAGAATATTAATTTTAGCCAATATTGTAGTGAAAAAATTGATATTAATAGGTAATTACATATTCAAGTTGTGAAAATATTTTCTACTTCTATTTTCTTTCGAAAAACAAATATCCCATAAGTTAGAAAATACTCATGAGTTCACTAGTATAATGTCAATGTTCACTGTGAATCAATAACTTATATATATTATTATATGGTGTTTAACTATTTACATAAAATTCTTTTTTACATATGGGCAAAATTACATAGGATTATAGGCTTAAAAAGGGATAACTTCTTATCACTGCTTCATTTAAGTTGCTCTTAAATAAATACTATATACCATTTCAGTGAATTTTGAAATAGAGCTGCAACACTACTGTATCTTAGGATATTTTTCAAAGTTCTAATGATACAGAAGCTACAATTACAAAATAATGAAATGAATCACACAAGCTAAAATAAAAACAAGCATAACAATTTTATAATTACTGCTTATATTAATTTTTAAACATTTAAATATTTTAGAACATCAGGAGAATCCACATTGCCACATAAATTTAACTTCATTTATACTAGTGTATTATATATACTAAATATAATTATGTGTATATAATATTTCTTAAAATAATTAAGCTTTTCAGGTACTGCAAGGTACCGGTGTCAATTACATAGACAAAAGCTTGTCAATTTTGCATTCTAATGTTAACATGTTGTTTAATAAAAATTATAGGAGGCCATAGTTTCTAAGTTCCCGCACTGAAAACCAAAAAAAGCAGACTAAAAATTAAAATGGAGTCACCTTTGCTAAGTTCCACTTAAATTGTAATCTGACCTTCAGAAAAATCAGGAGAGATAGATAACAGCCAATTTCTGGAACAGGCCAGTTTAAATCTTCAATAAGTATTATGATAACGTTTCCTCTGCTTTAATCCTTACACAAAAGAGAGAGCCTGAAGTTACCTGATATTAACTAATTATTTACTTTCCTATTGTTCTGTCTCTCTGTCCCCACCTAAAAAGGAAAGTAACTTTGAAATAACCAATCTGCTTTTTGTTCTTAGTTTCTGCTTTCTTCAGCCCTTGCTGTCTATAAAATCTTTGTTAATTTGTAGAGCATTTCTTTGACTTCGTCCAATGTATTTCCTGAGTCAATCCTCACATTTGGTTCCCAATAAAACTTTACAAAATTATTTCTGCCTCAACAGCCTTAATTTCAGTTGACAAAGTGAATCTGCTGTATGTGATACTGCTAATCAGCATATAAATTCTAAATATGCTATTTGGTTCAAGTGTAATTGGTGTTTATTGGTAAACACAAGATATGTTTTTTCTATGGCAGCATTATTAGTTTTGAATAATACTTAAGGCTGCTATAAAATATTCTGTTAGCTAGTAGATAAAGCAAATAGTTCAGGAATGCTTTACACAGTAATGAAAAACCAGAAATAAAGGTGTCTGAATGGCTTATATTGGTGAAACCAAAGAGAATAATTAAATACCGAATTTGGTGACTATCATACATTCATCAGATATATAATTGAGTATGTATTATTGGCCAGACTAGTATAGGGAAAAAAGCTGATGACAACTATTTCACTTTAAAAATATTAACTTAAATCTTCAGAGAGCACTAAGAAGAATGCTTTAAGTTTCAGTTAATAAAACTTTCTAAGATCTTCTGTCATGTAGCTAGCTAAGGAAGGTTTAGGCCATAATAATACTCTCAAATTAACAGGGCCAATCTTATATTTATTTTCTTTGATAGCAATACATATAATATGTATTGTCCATGAAAAACATTGAGTGTATCAGTGCTAAGTAACAGTCTGCTCTTGAGAAACCAGCCATGGAGCTGGGCTATCATGTCAAGGGTGAGCAGAAGGCGCACAGGATAGCCAATACGATGGTAGGCACTGGGCAGGCTCGGTGGCTGGCATAGAAATGAGTCAAGATCAGTAAGAGGACAGGTTTCAGTAGGAAGCTGGTAGTAGAGGTGATCAAGTCAGGAGAGCTAGGATCCAGAAAGACCGAAGTAGATCCAGCACAAAAAGTGTTTCTTTAGTCTTCCAGCAACTCAGAAACACCCTTAGGCAGAAGCTTACATTGGCTCCTTAAAAGAGACATAACTCTGGTAGTATCTAAAGGAAACTAAAAGCTTTTACTCTGGGAACCTGAGACATATTTAACTAACTCTTCTATTTACAACTCTAGTTGTTAATGAGACCTTAGTTTCTTACTCCCCTCCCAACTAGGAGGCTTAGCCCCAAAGGAACGGAGCCATCTTTATTATACCCTACTGAATGAAAGGACACAGCTTCTTAACTGGCTAAGAGGCTCAGAGGCTGGTTTAAAGATAAATGGAAAGCTTGTCACTTGTGTCACTAAATGTTATGTATATTCTAAAGTTCCTAAAGTGGTTGATATATAATCAGAGGGAAGAGTTCAGTTTTATTCTTTTTCTTTAAGTATGTTCCCACCTGGAGGCAATTCATCCTTAGAACCTAACACTTTCTAATAAGCATTCTTGCAAAGTATCAAAATTTATCCTTCTCAAATAAATGGAGGAATTTGCTGAAATTGAAAGATGTGAAATCTGTTTATTTCACTACTAATCAATGTGCAAACTACATTATTCTCACCAAAGCTAATTTGGCACATAAACCATTTTCATAAATAATGGATGAAGGTTGTTGTAAATAGTTATTGCAAATTACTGATAAATTCACTTATTTTGCAGTGTTTTATACTAATGACAGGTCAACCAATGAACCTCATTGAAAAGCAAAACAAGAGGAAAATCCTGAGGAGATTCTAAAGACGACAACACAAGTCTGCTCATGTGACTGTAACCTAAGGCTTTTTCCTCAGAAGAAGATAATAGAATATCCAGGTAATTAAATATTAACTAAAACAGGAACTTAAGGCAAAGATATCATTGATAAATCAATATAAGATACCATCACTGCATGACATTCTTTTAAAAGTCATAATAGTAAGAAAGAAGACCCAGGAGGGAAAGGACATTTCAATAAGCAAGAAGGTTTAGTGTTCCCACTGAGTTCAAGGTATACTTATGAAACCCCAGAAACTGAAGATGCAATAGGCCACCATCAAATATTGTCAAATAATAATTATCAAAATAATTATCAAAAAAGAAAACAAAAAAACATTATTAATGTATAATTATCATAGGACTTTTAAAATAGCAAGTTTACAAGTAGGTTAGAACTCACTAAATAAATTACTTTTTTTTTTTTAAGTTTCTCTCTGGAAGCTAGAGAAGCATAAAGATCCCCCAAAGGATAGCCTAGTATCCTTTATGTTAGAGGCACATAATACATAACTTGGTTTGAAAATAAATAATGGAAGAGTGGAGAGTAGTAAGGGTGGGTTTTCAGGCTTACACTTCCCTCCATTTCCACTGCTACCTTCTTAACCCAAGCTAGTTTGTGCCAGGATTACTCCAATAGCCTTGTAACTGTTATCCTCTCATTCATACTTTTTCCCTCCAGTCCTTTCTACGCAATCTTTTTGAAAAACCAATCTAATACTATCATAACCTCCCCCATCCTCCCTCACTCTTCATAGAATTTTTCAAAGACTTCCCTATTGCTCTTCAAAGACTTAAATCCTTAATCTTTTGAAAGGCCCTGATTGGTCTGGTCCCTGCCATAACTCTCTTGCCTCATCTTGTATCATGCTCCCCTTGCTCTTTGTGTTCCAACCACACTGCCTCCTTTCATTTCAAATAACTCACACTCCCTACGATACAAGATCTATGTATATGTTATTTCTGCTTCCTAGAATCTTCACACAACCTCCTTCACCTACATAATTTCCAATAATCATTTGGCTCTCAGTTCCAAAGTCAGCTCCCCAGGGAAATCTTCCTTGAGCTCCTGCATAGCCTCTCTCCAAAGACTGAGTAAGTCAGATCCCCTTATGAGGTCTGAAAGGCGAGCACTGTTCACCTTTCCTTCATAGCATTCTTCATGGTGATAACTTTACATTTACTTGTGTGATTACCTAATTAATGTCTGTCTTTCTCTCTAGACTGTCAGTAGTGCAGAGACTATCAGTGGTTCCTGACATTGAGCCTTGCACATAGCTGATGCTCCATAATTATTTGTTGAGTGAATGGAGAAAAACACACATATCTGTTGTCAGGCTTATCAATGTAACTCTGTGCTTAGTACAACACATGCATAACACATACTACACGTAAATTGTTCGGTGAATTAGTAAATTTTGGAAGAAACTCTAAACACAAGGCTACAAGGTGATGACAAAGCTTTTAAAAAGATAAGATATATATTAAAACTGCCCTGAATTCTATTCTAAATCCCTAACTCTTTGGTTTACAAAAGTTAGTTTTTGATAGTAAGGTATAATGATGTATTGAAACCATATGACCATTGTTTAACCATGGCTTAAGCTTTCTTGCAGATGAGTCAAGCCAATATTTGCAAGTCATGCAGCCAGGGCATTAACAATAGAAGTAGCTCTGACCTCCAAATAACACTCAGAACCAACATTTCTCCCCACGGAATCAAGGAGGCCACGATATGACCAGAACTTGAAATGCTGGAACTCCTTCAGAAGCAAGAAGCAAGGAATCCATTGTCTAGACAGTTGTGGTGCTGAAGCCCACCATTCAAAACCTGCCCCACTAACACTTCCACATACCAGCCTGTTCCCCTAACCCACAAAAGTTTGACCTAACTCCAGATCAGGGAGACAGATTTGAGCATAACCTCCTGTCTCCTTGCTGGCAGCCACACAATAAATGTCTTTCTTCTCACAAAAGCTAGTGTCACAGAGTTTGGCTTTCTGTGTGCATCAGGCCGTGAGCTGATTGCTTAGAAACAGCATAACTTGACCATAAATTTACAAAAATAACAAGCAGA